ATTACTCCACCGGCCTCGCTCCGTTCCCACGGCTCTCGGCCCCGCCCCCACTCATCACAGTTACAATTTGTTAAAATTAAGTCTTGGAAAAACAACATTGTCAATACAGAATACAGGGGAAAAAGTACTAATGCATGGCCTTTTATAGTTTCCATAAGCTACCATTGCTGATTTGCTCCATTGTCATTTGCTCTGTTATGTCAGTGGAATGATACTATATTATTTTCCTTTGCTTGACCTGTATTTAAAAGAATAGTAATAATTCTGTTTATTTTAAGTCTATTAATTTAAGTCTATTGCTATGAACATCTTTAGTTACTGAAAGTTGATGAATGCTTAAAAATCTCTGTTCTTGTTTTGTGTGCTCAGATTTGCAGGTCAGCTATGACCTTTCATTTAAAGACCAACATGCACCCACAAATATCAACTCCTCATATCTTACGTCACTGTACTGACAGTGTTAAATCCATCCATCTTTTGCAAATCATAAAAATTGTTGTAGTTTGCATACGCATCTGAACTATTGTTTGAAATTTCAGAGGGAAAAGCCTGAGATCTACAAAACCTTGCAAGTGGAGAGTGGACAAGATGAGAAAAATGTTCACTTGTGTACATTTATGAAATAATGTCACTATATGCAGATATCTTCTATTTTGAATGAGATTGATTGGACCATTTTATAGGAGTCACACACGTCAAAGGAACAATTCACCCAAAAATTAAAATTTGCTGAAAATGTACTCACCTTCAGGTCATCAGAGATGTAGATGAGTTTGTTTCTTCATCAGAACAGTTTTTGAGAAATATAGCATTACATCATTTGCTCGCCAATGGATCCTCTGCAGTGAATGGGTGCCATCAGAATGAGCATTTAATAGCTGATAAAATCATCACAATAATCCACAAGTAATCCACATGACAGTCCATCTATTCAAGTTCTGTGAAGTGAAAAGCTGTGAATTTTTAAAGAAACAAATCACTGATAATATAATATTAAATAATATAATATAATATAATATGAAATGACAAATGCACATAGTGTATATATGTTTGATCACTGAGTAAGAATCATTTTAATACTGTGGGGGGGGGGCTGGGGGGGTTTGTTATCTTCGAAAGACCTCTGTATTTGCAAATGAGAATGAGGGTTGAACTGAAAATATCAACGTGATATTTAAGTGATACTGGCTTCTGAATTGAATTTTGAGAAATATAGCATTACATCATTTGCTCGCCAATGGATCCTCTGCAGTGAATGGGTGCCATCAGAATGAGCATTTAATAGCTGATAAAATCATCACAATAATCCACAAGTAATCCACATGACAGTCCATCTATTCAAGTTCTGTGAAGTGAAAAGCTGTGAATTTTTAAAGAAACAAATCACTGATAATATAATATTAAATAATATAATATAATATAATATGAAATGACAAATGCACATAGTGTATATATGTTTGATCACTGAGTAAGAATCATTTTAATACTGTGGGGGGGGGGCTGGGGGGGTTTGTTATCTTCGAAAGACCTCTGTATTTGCAAATGAGAATGAGGGTTGAACTGAAAATATCAACGTGATATTTAAGTGATACTGGCTTCTGAATTGAATGTCTTTTATGCAAGAATAGACGTCTTGCAGGTGTCATGTGCACAAGTCTCTTGCGCAAAGGATACACCCAGCAGAGCTGCCGTTTCAGTGCAGTTGACTGAAGTGGTCTATGTGAAATGTCATGCTCTGCAGGTTTACGTCACATAAGCGTACATCTAACTATGACACATTCACACTGTTTTTTTTTTCTTTCTCGGTTTTATGTAAGCTATTAAAATTGATGAGCCAACATATGACACATCCAGTGTGGTCCCACTGTGCACCACAGAGTTCATGTTACCATATATTGTCATGCTCATGAATTATACATGCAGCTCAACCCTAAAAATACAACTATTGCAAGCAGTTCAGTTGAACCATGAAAAACGTACTGAATTTGTAATTGTTTTTTGTTGTTGTTGAGTCTGTTTAACGTACACAAAAAGCTGCAAGCTTTAGCATACAATAATATAAAAACGTTTATATTAAAAATATCAACTAATGTGATAGTTTTTTTATAAATATTTCACATATGCATTTTACAGAAACATATAGCCATTCATAGAAATGTAATTTAAAATACTGTTCAAAACAAAACAGTAAATGAAATGTCTTTCGGTTATCCCACTTACACTAGATCAGTCACATTAAAAAGCATCAATTCAAAGTCAAATATAATAATTTGATAGAATAATATTTTTAACCACTTCCTGTAAAATAGACCCAAAAAATTATTAAATTTTTTGCACTATAGAAAAACTGACTCTTGAATTTAGTTTGAAATGTTCCTTCCATGTCCATCCACGGCTACATTCACAATCTGATTACAATTTTGCAAAACCTTTCCAAAAAGACAAAGGCCATTTCATAGACTGGGTCTGTAAGTTTTGTTTGTAGTATCAATGTTTAAATTTGATGGTGCACATCAGTAAAGATTCTCTAAATGCATAATTTCAGCTTATTCTTAGCAAAAGAATGGTTGGATGTTATATTGCAACAACCTACTCTGTTACAAGAAGTCAACTGAAAAACGTGAGGGAAACTCTGATCTTCGTGGCAGTGAGGCTCTTTGGCAAGAATTCAAAGGATGTGGTTCTCAGTTGAAGTAAGGAAATGAACAGGTTCCAAGATTACTGAGCTCTCAGACACTAATGCAAAAAGATTGTATCAAAAATATTCTTTTGGTCATGCAAGCATGGCAGAGCACGGGTTATCTGGGCAGAAAATTGATTTTAGATAAAAAAATAAAAATAAAAACAACTCAGGCTTACAGATCAGGAAGTAGTGTGATTTTTGTCTGCACATCTTGTTCTTGACATCTGCAGTGGTTTAGCCCTGCAGAGGGTGCTGCTTCAAATAGAAGAGAGGGAATTAAAATATATCAGAATCATTTAGCTACTACGAACATCCTTTTATGAAATTCATGTGGAAAATTAATTTCTATACAGTTTTTCACATGCTTTCTACTCTCATTTTTTCCCCCTGAAATTCATGGTTTGAGCTGGTCTGTCAGGGATTTTTGTGGTTAACAAAACCTGACTTCTCATTTCATATCCTTTACAAAAAGTTCTGTGCAGGGGTGCTCGCCTCGCACTTTGACGCAAGATGAGACGTCATCACCTTTTCAAGTGTATGAGCAGCGGATGAATCAAGAAATCTAGAAATTATCTCCACATTATCTCCCCCTTAATACATATCGTATGATAAAAATAACAAATATCATAAACTCATCTTAGGTAGCCTACATCTCATTGGTATATTTGTCCAAAAAAAAAAAAAGTCCTGCAGTATAGTTGGTAAAGGCTCCGTCATCACAAGCCTTATCTAAGTAGTCAAACTAGTTTTTCTTTAGCACAAAACCAAGTAAGCAGATGCCAGTTTGAAATTAAACTGTTAACAGCCTTGTGGCTTTTCAAGAGGAAGGTGGATAACGGCATTTAGCTTCAGGGGAACGTTAGTACTGCGTGGATGGAAAATTTGAAGTTCAGCCGAAAGCTGTCGCCTCCCCAGAACCTCAATGTGTTTTGCGTTTCTAGAGACAGAGACAGAGGCAGAGGACGTTGTCGACTATCGGAAGAAACATAAATGTAGGAGGGGACAATACCAGCTCTGACGTTGCTATAAGTGCATTTAAATACAAAGATCCACATGACGAAAATTCATGATTTAAATGTTATTCTTAGTTTTGAGTTTTGAGACCAGAGCATTAAGAAGAAGAAAACATAAAAAATAACAAATATCCAAAAATAAGGAAAAGTATTACAAAATATTACAAAATTTCAGTCAAAACACCTGAGACAAACAACAACAATAAAATGAACCTGATATTTATGCTACAGAATATTAGATTTAGTCCTTTATTTAAAGTTGTAAATTATACACCATATAATCAGACACACTTCACAGAATGATAACAAACATAAAATAAAATATGAAAAATATTACTGCCTACAAAAATGTCACTGGTTTATACAGCCCATTTATTTCCATTTCACAGAAACAACATTAAATCTTTATAATTAGGCTACACAAAAAGGAAATATTCTCAGAGTTGTCTTTAGCCCACCTAAATATGGGAAACTCATGTAATTTGTCATATTTCTTTCAGGAATGCACGAGTCACTGAGGCAACATGGAAATGACTCTATAAGGTTATGGCATCCATCGATCTACCTACAGCTATCGACTGAAGTTCAGGCAATATGAAGTTTGCATTTCAAATTCACTAATCAGCAGACTTCGAAGTAGATCTATCTCCAAGTAATGAATTGAAATCAATTCACAGCTTATGTTAAATTAGCCATCTGAATTCAAATGGATGAGCATTTACACTACAAGCGCAATGTGTTTAAATATGACTTTGAACACCTTCACATGTGGATGAATTTGTTTTGGACCCCGGAGGTTTCAAACCGGTTGCCCAAAACAGGTGTAAACGGGTCTTAAGAAACCCCTAAAGTAAGCTACTTTTGACTATTTTCATCATTCTTACAACATCCACTGAAGCGCATTAAAAATATTAATTATAATATTAATTATAAAAAAAACTTTCCTCTACAATTTAAGACAATTATAATAAAGCATTGACTGTTTTTTTTTTTTTAAAGAGATAGTTCACCCAAAAATAAAAATTCTGTCATCATTTACTCACTCTCGAGATTTTCCAAACCTGTATGATTTTCTTTCTTCTGTTGAGCACAAAAGACAATATTTTGAGTTGACGGTAGCCATTGACTTCCATAGTACAAAAAGAAAAAAGAAAAAAGTCATTGGCTACCATCAAATGTTTGATTACCGACATTCTTCTTCAAAATATCTTCTTTTGTGTTGAACAGAAGAAAGAAACTCATACAGGGTTGAAACAACTTGAGGGTAAGTAAATGATGCCAAATGATGAAATTTTTGGGTGAACTATCCCTTTAAGTGGTGTTATTAAGTGGAGATTTAATGAAGTTAACAGCAATTAAACTAGTTATAAAACAACCAATATTGCATGCATACAAAATATTCCACAAAAAGAAACACTGAGGCCATTAACAACAGCGTTAGACAAGCAAAGACTGGCACTTTTCCCCAGATTCTTCAACAGGCTTTCTGCATACACTTTCTAGAGAAAATAAATGTAAGAAGGATGAATATAGTGTAGCCACACACACACACACACACACACACACACACGTGGTCGTATGATAAACTAAGGGTACTCCACCTTTTCGAAAATCCACTTTCTTGTGGTTATGAATACAGTGGGTGACTTTACACTTGTGGTACAGGAGTCCAGCCAGCAGAAGAATACCAGCGCATAGCATGACCAGCCCTAAAATGAAATATGAATTAAATCTTATCAAGAAAGAAGCATTGTAACGGATTACTAAATCTGGAAGCAATAAAGGAAGATTACACAAGCTGTAGAGGCTGTTTTTTTGTGTGCTGTTGGAAGAGGAGTCTGTAATTCTTGAAGTGGCCGTAGAAGAGATTGTGGTTGCCTGGAATGGAGTAATGTGGGCTTTAGGGGGTTCTTTCACCTCTTTCGTGGGAGCTTCTTTCACCTCTTTCGTGGGAGCTTCTTTCACCTCTTTCGAGGCGTGTTTGCAGACAGCATCAGAAGTGCCAGTGCCTGCGGTCACAATCCCATTTATACACCTACAGAGCAAAAAAAATAATGCAGTTCTCTTCATAAAAAAAATTATAAAGGGATAATTCAGTAAAAAAAATGAAAATTCAGTCATCATTTATGCATGCTGATGTCATTATAAACCTGTTTGACTTTTCTTCTGCATAACACAAATTCTGATAAACATCTTAGTATTTTTCTTGCCTATACAATGAAAGTTTTATTTTATGGACAAAATAGCTAAAACATTCTTCAAAATATCTTATTTTGTTCTCCAAGGGGGGGGGATTATACAGTTTGGGAATGACATGAGGAAGAGTAAATGATGACACAATTTACATTCTTTGACTAAACTATCCCTTTGTAGTCTCAGTGCCGAATCATCAGACTTGCACAAGAGAGTGCTTATTATACATCGAAACAAAGCTGCTGAGATCATTAATATGCTTTAGGGTCATGACTGAAATTCATTCAACCTTTTTACTGGGGAATTTTTATGCTCCCCCTCAATGAGTCGGCTATAACATTTGAATAGGGTCCCCTTCGTATCTCTGGGCTCGGGGACATCGTTCCTGGTTGCCTCCCCTTGACAACAGCCCTTTGAATTGGCATTTGCATGAGGCTATCAAACTTTATATCCTTTGAAATGAACATTTTTTGCTAATTATAAAAACTTACTCCCTCCATTTTTGACAAATCGAGTTTTCTTTGTCTGTGAAGAAGCCATCCTCACATTTTTTGCATATTCCTAGAAGAGAGACATAGTCCAGGTTTCATGAGATGCTCTTTAATTATTTTATGTGATTCAGTAAGGCAGGATTTAATATGTGTACCTGTTTCATCTATTCCCGAACCTTTTTCACAAGAGCAAATCTCTTCCTTTATCCGATCAATGGGCATAAATCCTTTTTTACATTTGCATTTAGTGTCACTTGTAGATGTGCAAGAACTGAGCTCATTACTACCTGAGGGGGGAAAAAACTATGTAAGTTATTGTTGAAAATAGAAATAATGTTTTTGTCTCTGATTTTGCCTTCTTTTGTACACATCCAATGGTGTAAGTTAAATGCCACATATTGAGTGGTGGTTTACAGTATCTTACAGCATTACATACATTATACAGTAACATTCTCAGTTACTAAACCTATCTATCTATCTATCTATCTAAAAAACAGGCACTTACCTTTTTTACATTTGCTGCAGTTCTCACAGTGAAAATATGTTCCACTTGTAGATCTGTATTGGTTTTGTGGACAGGCCTCACAATTTTTCGTAACATAACTTTGTCTATGACCTGCAATCAACAGATATCTTTAATGAGGTGTTATGTGACCGATATCCATTTAAACCCAACAGAAAATCCCAAATCCAGGTATTCAACAATAATCATACATACCTGCTGGACAAGATGCGCTTGCATTTTGGTGAATTAACAGTATACACAGAAGAGTTGAAAGGACTTTCATGTAAAAGAACATGACATCAGTACGCGGTTACAGAGTGTTGGAACTGAGCGTAACTCTCAAATGAGAGGAAATAACGACTGAAACCTCTACCCATGCAACCGACAAAGGTGACATTTCAACCTTGTTTGAAAAGGCAACTTTCCCCACTGTAACTTATTTACATGTCACCCACATTGGAAAAAAAACATGTAGGATTGTACAGTTATGCGTTTTCTTTAATTGATAATGTCAAAAGCCTTAAGCTGAATGAAAATACATATTTTATTAAAAGCCATTAGCTTTATTTGTTGAATTCGATTGCTCTGAATCTGATTGGTGCATGTCAAATGGTTACAAAATAAAACAAGACATCTAAAAATGCTCTAAATTTAAGACGTTTAAATTTAAAACAGAAATTTGAAGGACTGCCTCAAAACTGTATCACTTCCTTCTGAAATCATTGGAACTTATTTCTGTAATGTATGCTGTATTAATACAACAAAAACCCACATTTTCTCATTACAACACATTGATTTTCTAGGCTCTGAATGTAAATGTTCTCACAATATGGACAGAGCAAACATGGATGTAAATTATGATTTATCAAATTTAATTATGATCTTATTGGACAGCCATTTAATATTTCTAACATGCCAAATTCGGTGTAATAACTGAGACTTATCTGATGGTATTAATTCAGTTCTTTCGTTACGTTTTCAAGATAACTATTTGTTGTCACTTTCATTTCATCTTTTTCACCCAAAATTTTTAAAGACAAAGCATCCCACAGTTTACATTTGCTTCTTGACAACATCAGGTCTGATATGAATTTATTTGACTGATCTTTGAAGCAATCAAATTAAATGACACACTCAAGTGTAACATGTGAAGGTGCTCTCTCTATGTATTCTAATGAATCAGAGATGTTTTGCATAGGAAAAACCAACTCTTATGTAGCAGTACTGAAAACAGGTAGGTCTGACACATTTAGGGCAGAATAGATGAAGTTCCTTGGTTTACTGGTCTGCTGTTTACAGGAAAAAAAAAGGGGTATGTTAGACGTGTGGAGAATAAGTGTGTTCTATTTTACTCTTATCATCAGTTGAGAAGCAATTAATGATATGGGATAATTTAGTACAGGAAAAAATGATATATACATAAAACAAAATCACTGAAATGTGTTCCTGTAATTGGAATATAAGTCTGAAAAGTGAAAGATAACTGCAATGCATCTTTCTCTTTGCAGAAAAGAGTGCAGAGCTTCCATTTACCATGACATAGTGCAGATGTTATCAAAGCTTTTTCCGGTCTTCAAACAGAGAAGTCTGTGATCCTGTTTGAGAAAGAGGATTTAAAAAGTCCTTATATTAGAGTTATAACAGGGGAAACAGACACACAAAGAAAGAACTGAAAAGTAGATCAATTTTGAATAAACTTGGTGTTTTCCCAACAAAATGACTGCTGCACTAATGTGCTCTTTATTAGACAGTTTACTCAGCTTTGAAGATAAAAATAGAAAATGAAATTAAGGTGATGGTGGGGAATGACACCGTAATTGGAGTACATTCTCTCAGCTGACCTACTTCTGCTCAGTTTCTTTTTTACCTTTCTGTTTATCAGTATTTTGTAAAATGTTCTTAATTACTCACCCTCATGTGGTTCCAAACCCGTAAGACCTTCGTTCATTTTTGGAACACAAATTAAGATATTTTTGATGAAATCCGAGAGCTTTCTGACCCTGCATAGACAGCAATGCAACTACCACGTTCAAGGCCCAGAAAGGTAGTAAGGACATCGTTAAAATAGTCCATGTGACATCAGTGGTTCAACCGTAATTTTATGAAGCTATACTGCTACGAGAATACTTTTTGTATGCAGAGAAAACTAAAATAACGTGGTACTCTTGTGAATGTGCATCAAAGACTGACACGGAAGAGAAGAAATTGTTGAATAAAGTTGTTTTTGTTTTCTTTGCGCACAAAAAGTATTCTCGTCCTTACTACCTTTCTGGCAGCTCTCGGATTTTATCAAAAATTTCTTAATTTGTGTTCTGAAGATGAACGAAGTTCTTACGGGTTTAGAACAACATGGGGGTGAGTAATTGATGACAGAATTTTCATTTTTTTGTGAACTATCCCTTTAAGGGAGCTATTAATTCTTTAGCTTCAGCGCATTGATATTAAATTACTGAAAACACTATGGACAATACTGGGTTATATGGTAACTTTTGCCAAACAGATCCCGCCTCATTCTTAAGAGTGTCAATCTGCAAATGAAATATGTACTTCAAAGAAAATACACTTAGAAAAATACAGTTAAATATTTTAAGCCTCTCACCAGTCACATTTGCTGCCAGGTTTTACTTCTCTGCATGTTACAGCACAGCATTCACAACTCCAAACCAGGTAAACAATACTGAAAGATTATTACTATGGTAAATAGGTTTAATTCCATAATAGGGTGCATGAGCTGCAAATCAAGACTTTCCACTCTTCAGAATCTCCATCCCCTTGTGCCCAGGATGTGTAGGAAACAGTAGTTTGGACCTGATGCTTTCACTAAATGAATAAATATATGAATATACTTTAATGTCCCGTTTGAGGGATATTCATCTTGGACAAGCATGACCTGGCCAGTACACAACATAAAACTCACACAAACTCAAATTAAAAGCTATAGTATACCAATAAAGCATCTCATTTGTGCAATTCTCTATTGAATAATTTAACCGCAGTTGGCACAAAATAATTTTTGTAGCGATTTGAATTGCACATCAAAGTCCTCAAACGTCTCCCTGAGGGTAACATATTCCATGTAAAATATGTGTGTCATCTGCAAAACTGTTCTTAGCTTGTCTTAAAACAGATAGCCTACCTCATACATCTCCTGTATAGGCCATTTCGCTTCCCAACCTACAATATTTAGAGCAGCATACACAAGTCGAGCAAGTTTCGATTTTGATTGGACAGTCAGGTTTCCATACCATGCTGTAATACCATTTCTTATCAAACTCTCAAAAACAGACTGATAGAACAGAAATAAAATCTTCTGATTTACCCCAAATACTTTTAACCTTCGCAAAAAAATATAACCTCTGTTGCAGGGATGGGCAGTATTTCAGATACATGTATTTAAAGGGGTCATATGATGCTGCTAAAAATAACATTATTTTGTGTATTTGGTGTAATGAAATGTGTTTATGCGGTTTAAAGTTCAAAAAACACATTATTTTCCACATACTGTACATTATTGTTTCTCCTCTATGCCCCGCCTTTTTGAAACGCGTCGATTTTTACAAAGCTCATCGGTCTGAAAAAGCAAGGTGTGCTGTGATTGGCCAGCAACGGTCCTCCATAAAATGTGCTGCACACATCTGAATATTTGGGACTACAGCGAGAATAAAAGTTACGCCTTCTTTCTTTGCGTGAACATTTGGGCGGTGTGGTTAACTCTTAACTTTTATAAAGAATATCTCTTTGGTTTTGAGACTTTAGTGTTTGCAACTTTACAGATCTTCTTTATGCACCAAGAGCTTGTAACACTCCAAAGAGAAAGGAAAAATTGAAATCGCATCATATGACCCCTTTAAAATACGTATTTGAAATACAAAATACTATTTTGTATTTTGTATTTGAAAGCCTTCGGCAAAAATCAAATGTAATTTGTATTTAAATACATTTAAGATTAGTATTTTTGTATTTTCAAAATACATAAAATACTTTGTGCTAGTCAACCTCTTTATCAGTGTGCTGATTTTAGTTCAGACACACCCCCTCTCCCCAACCCCAACATTCATCACGTGAGCTGCAGCTGGACAACTCCATTCAGCGTTGGGTGAGTGACTTTTCTGGAATAAGATAAGGTGAGGATGTCATGGTCAATTGTACATGTTGATTAAAGTTAAAATAGTGCATCATTCAGATTTGCCGTCAGTTAACATGAAAGAATAAAAGAGCACTGACAAGGGGAAAAATAGCGTTAGCCAATCAGTTTTAATAGTTAATCGGTTGTTGTTTTTTTATCAACTAGCTTGTCAAATGTGTTTAAAGCATTACTGCATGTTAGGGCTGGGTGATATGACAATACATATCGTGGCGATGATATAAAGTGTGAATCGACGGACATTTTTCTAAATCGTTTACATAGATAGGCCTGTTGGGGTAAGCAAATATATCTGTGTAGCTTTTAGTGGGCAGGAATTAATAATAGAATGAGTAATAGAATGTGATGTGCTTGGTGCAATTGCACTTATTATAAGTGTATATGTGTATGTGTCCTTTATACTTTTATGGCTCTCAATAGATTCAGTGGTTGGAATTGGGTTAATACTCATTGACAATTTCTGTTGCTGCTTTCTGATTACGTTTCTGGCTACATTTAAAATCAAAACATATTGATCATTTAATAATTGTTGTAATGCTAAAATGTTTGTTTTCAACTTCCAAATATGTGTCCAGTGATTGATAGATAAATATTTGATTTCTGAATATTGTACCCTAATTGAAGTAGCTGTTTAAATAGGATCATGATTTTACATACCATTGCATGAATGACTGCCTGACACATAATATATTATTATATTTATGACTAACGATCAAATGATTAAGTAGTTAGAAACTAGTTGCTATGAATACATGTGCCATCAGTTGTCTTCTTATGAATGACTTGTTTGTCATTGAGTCAGTGCTGCTGATGCAAAGTAGGCCCTTTGTTACCAAACACCATGTAACTAAATTAGGATACAATTATGAGTCATTCGCAAACTGTTAAACATTAAACTGTTGGTTACTTTAAAACTAACCTTCATCTGGGAAATCACAGGGATATGTGAATATTTGATCTGTTAACTGGTTGCATATGTCAGATTTATTGCATGACTCGGGCAGAGAAAAGCTGTTGCTATCAAACATTGTTCCCAAACATCAGCGTATTGGTGAAGAGATAGATCAAATAGGCCAATTGATGGATCATGGAA